AGCATACCTAGACGCGCTTTTCATCAGCCGTGAAACTTAGTAGCACGCTTCAACGTGCAGTTTGAGGGCAGAATGACAAATCTGCGCTATCTGCGCCCGCACAAGTGTGGCGCTAGTATAGCAAGCGATGTAATTTACAAAGTAATTATTATTCAATGTTTAGGAGTACTAGCACTAAATAACAACTAAAATAATTTTTAAAAAATAAATATCACTTTTTGTTTTCCGAAGTTTTTTTTTATAAGTGTATTAGGAGAACACGCTGAAAGCATTGCGCTGACGCCTGTGCTGCCACTGCTTGACGTTTGTTTTTAGGCGCAACTAGGTTCGCGTTCGCACTACTCATATTCATATGGTTTGTGGTCAGCGAGCACATGGACATGGAGCTTTTGTGCTATATTTTGATTGTGCGTGTGTGTCGTAGATTTACGTTTCTACTTATTTGTGATGAAGGTTAGTATGCATTCATCTTTAGAAAGCGCAATGTTGTGGATTTTGCTGCTGGTTGGAACAAACACAACGTAAACACGTCTTCAGCTATCTGCAAACCTGTTCGGTCGTCGGACAAAAGACTGTGCATGCATCAGTGTGCAGGTGAGCTGCATTTCCAGCAACATTTATTGCTCTCACAGTGTGGGTAATTACAGTCTAGCATTGGTTGGGGTATTTTCAACACCAAATTTATTCTTGTTCACAGCTGTGTAAAATATTGAGTTCTCGAACAGCCAGCTCATTGTTTTTTCTCCAAATACATTGTTGAGTGGTTGCGCTATCAAAAGAGAAATGATTTGCTCTTGCTTATTCACCGTATCTATTGCTAGCCGTATCGAACTAAATTACCTGTATTATTATTGCCTGCATACCCTCCTGCTTCCTCAGTCACCCCTGCAGTGCCAGTGTAATTTTGCAGTTAAAAGTTTCTTTCCGGAACAATACCTCGCTTGAAAAAACATTGGGGCGGGGTTGTAGCTGCCTTCATAATGGTACTTGTCTCTCATTGGCTTTATGTAACGTTAACAGCTGGAATTTGGGGCCTTCGGGCCCACATTTTAGAGCTGCAAAGTGTATGTAGACCAGAATGTGTACAAATCATTTTCGCATTACATCACCGGCATAGCCAGGCGGTGGCGCACGGAATTTTTTGAAGGCCGGGCATAGCGAGCCCAATATGACGACCATCATTGCTTGCCCGGTCTCCGATTCAGATAAGCCGACCCCTCCCCCTCCCCGCACGCCTCAAAGAAAAAGTCTGCCTACATCACTGCGTCAGTTGCTTCACCTCTACGCTGAACGTATTGTTTTATAAGCGCACCATTAAGCGAGCATTTTGCCTTTGGACAGAACAATGGAAGGAGGAATTACCCAAATCTTTCAGATTTCTTTAGTGATGCAAAACCTTTGCAAAACTGAATATCATGAAAGAAAATCATCAATGCTGAAGCTTCACATTAGCGTTGTCATTATTCTGCATCATGAAATCTTTATGAGCTGTGAAAACTTTGCGAAGCCGTTGAAGTCACAATTTGACGTCAATAACAATCGACGAAAATTTCGACAACCTCAATAACGCCGTTTGGGATTTGCCGCATGCACATAATTAGGCTGATTCCCACTTGGCTGTTCTTAACCAGACTTCACTGCTACCAAATGAAACAATATTTGATGCATGTCCTTTACTACTTTTTTGAGGTGCATGACAGAAATTTGGTTATACTGCAGATATTGATGCCTTCAAGGATGCTAAAGTACAGAAAGCAAGTGAATTTCGGTAAGTGCCGACTTTTTGTACTACGTACATGAAAGCATCGCTTTTTGGTGGACAAACTGCACATGTGTTGGCCAGCGAATAGTTTATCATGGCACACTGGCACTGACAATGTGACATGACTCCGCTGGCCCGTGTGTGTGCTTACACTGTTACCGTTAAGGCTAAATGTTTATGTTTTCATTGCAGGGATTGTTGTTTGTACTAGAAAGCTAACTGCCAAAATTTGTTTACGCTGGTGCTACTAATGGTACGTTTCCTCTATTTACACGGGTTTTGGCTTGCGCCTAGCATAACACTTGGGCCTAGATTCACAAATCTGTCCGTGCTCAGGCCTTCATAACAGCGTTTCCTGACTCACCTTTACCCTATTTTCTGCAGATGTTTCGTGGAATTAAAAGTGCCACAGCATATTGAACTCTCCCACTCTGAAAAATTCTCGTTCAAAGTTCTGCAAGAGTGGGCTTAACTTTCTTGTGCACCTCCTTGCTGTTCTAAGATCCTGAAGTATTATGGTCTTTCTACAGGTGGCAGTGTCACTAATGTTTGTATTTCTATCACGCTGACCATGTATGCGATGTTGTCTTGAATGGTAGCACATCCTTGACAAATGTCTTTGTGGCACATGTAGAGGGCAGTGCAAAATAGATAGGCAGACATTCACACCAGGCGCTAACTTCTAATAAGGCTTTTTTTAAGAAACCACGGTGTGCTTATTCCAGTTTGTCCGACACAGCAGTAACCTGTTTGGCTGTGAACCAACAAGACGTTGAACTGATAAAAGCTTCATGTATTGTTTGCACTCAGATATATGTGTATCGGCAAGCTATCTGTGACACTGTTAACAAAGAATCAGAATATCTGTGCATGCCTCAAGCTATATTGCTTCGTTCACAGATCTCGCGGCTGTGACTCGTCAACCGAGTGAACAAGTGCACCCTAGTTTCTTAAATTTAAAGCATTTTTGAAAGTAGCATGATCTATATTTATTTGTGTCCATAGTTTTGCCCAGCCGTTTACATCAGGTTCAAGGAAATATACTGAAGAAAATCATGTAGCCTCTGTAAATGGTTGCTTTCAAGCAGATTTTGCATGCTTGACTTGTGCCTACAGGTTCTGTACAATACATTACCCAGCTGCGTATGATAGAACAGTAGAATTGAGAGCAACTATGTCCACGAGCTAAATATGTATTTTAACTCAAGCTGACGGTACGTGTTATTTGCTACACACATGATCTCGCCTAGAATTCCCATTGGTGGTTGGGCTCGTGAAAATGTCACTCAGCTGTGTATACGAAACAAGTTAACTGAACCTAAGGGCATCTTTAATTGATACAAATATGCCTTCTTGAGGTGCTGCGCATTTTCTTCAAGAATATTGCTATCTTTGACATCATGTGAAGAGTATCTACCACATCAGCATTTCTATGGCTTGCCAAGTAACGTTTGGCCGAACCTACCACTTTTTTTCACATTTCGTTTTGCAGTAGACATCTTAGAATGTAAGCGCTGCTGCAGTGTGTGTGATGCATGGTTATGTATTGATTCTGGCATGTTAAACCTCACACTTCTATTTTTTCTTGCAGCAGTGAATGCTTCACATATGCCTGCGGAGACATTCCGCTGCGCTAGTCTGATGGAAACATCAGTCTTGCGAACCTCGAGTCTTTCAAAATTGGAGAAGTTGCCCTTCTCTCTCCAATGATGAGACAGACAGCCCTATGCTAGAAATTCAAAAATGTTTTTCCTCGGAAGACGCAGAAAACCTTTTATGTATTATGGCGCTTGGTTATATCTGGCTGTAGTGTGGCGAAGTCTACTTCTACGTATGCTCACACGTCACTTCAAAAAAAGGAAAGAAAAACAATTAAACATTTCTTTTTCTTTCAATATTGTCCACTTTTTGTGCTAGAAGCAGCACCCAAGCAGTGCTTTTCCAAGGAGCTCTTGCCACGTGTTAAGCGTGGGACAAGCATGCTCGAGATAAATATTCATTTTCACAAGGAGTAACTGGAAGCATGTGCAGTTGGTGCTCACAGAGTAACTGCGAACACGCCGGAGGAACGGTAAAGAGTAACCGTTGGTCTTATGGGAGCAACTTGTCGGAGTAATGGTTGGTTCGCAGGGAGCAAAAGGTAGGAGTAATGGTTGGTGCACAGGGAGCAACTGGAGGGAGTAACTGTTGGTCCGCAGAAAGCAACTGAAAGGAGAGCAATGGTTCGTCCCTCTGCAGTTACTTATTTTAGGGGAGTAATGGGAGTGGCAATGAAGGAAATTTTTGTTTTTATGAACTACTCACAGTGTCACGCCGCTTAACACGTTTGTGTGTAGTATTTCATTCGTCAACATCAAGGTACACCCGCCCTCCAGTTATAGTTTCATTTGATTTGCTTCTTCGGTTCAGGCTGGTGTCTTAGCCTGTGCGCACTGGGAACATGTATGTTTCGCTTCAGCTCACCTAATATTATGTTGGAAGTGAGTGCATCGTCTCTTCGTTACCTCCTCTTTCGGGCTATTTCTGTACCCGATGTTAAATGTGGTGGGCGCAGTCAAAGAGAACAAAAGGTCTTTGCCGTCTCTAAGCTTCTCGTTTTCTTATGCCACTTTACGTATGTTCGCTCCCTCTCTCTCTTCCCCAGAGCAAGCTAGCCTATCAGGTGAGCCCTGGTTAACCTTGCTGCATTTATTGTACTCTAATTTTCTATCTCTCTCCTTGTCGGGACATCACTGTGTGAATAAAACAACGAAATGAAGTGTCGTTCTGCATTATAGTATCTTTGTGGGCATGTAGCATGTAGAGAGGATAACCGCTGCTTCAATGAGGTTAACCAAATGAATTCCTGGAAAAGACAAGCGGGTTATGGGGAGACAGAAGGTTAGGTGGGCAGATGAGATTAAGAAGCTTGCGGGTATAAACTAGCAGCAGCAAGCACAGGACCAAGTTGAGTGGAGGAACATGGGAGAGGCCTTTGTTCAGCAGTGGCCGTAGTCAGGCTAATGAAGAAGATGATCTTTGTGGCCATGATAAAGATTTAGCATGCAATAACGACAGCTTACTTCTCGTGATTGCAGTTTTGCATATTTTATACCATGAAAGGGCGTCATGACTTCAGAGTTTTCGTGATTTGAAGAAAACTGGCGGGAAAAAACGAAAGGAGCCCAAAGCGCCTTCACTATCGCAAAGCAGGATGTTTGTGCACACTGAAGCAAGCATATCATAGCTGATTTCTCACCTTGGTGTCAGAAGGAAGTGACAGAAGCTCTCGCAACGTGTATACTTTGTTTGGCACAGAGATCTTCATCAAATTGCACAATTTCACTATCCATTCTTGGCAGTTGTTCTTTACAACATCGTACTTCTCTGGCTTTGACATCTCTCCGTAAGCATTTGCTATGTCGCCATAGTCAAGCTCATGAGATCCGAGTGGAATCTGAAAGAAAATAGGATAACGCAGATCTGAGAAGGTTGGTGCGTATTCTTTCTAAAAAACGCAACGTGCCAAAACGGACACAATAACGAATTCAGGATTTCACAACGCCATCTTAGTGTTCGTGGGGTTCTGACCTTTTGTGTTCGTGTTTGCATGCCCTGTCTCTTTTAAAGTGAAACAGCAGTCACATAAATTTCTATTGTCGCCCTTCATCCTTTTCACATATTCGGAGTGTGTGGATTTGCGTTCAGGGCATACGGTGCCATCTGTTCAACAATATTAGTTAAAGGGAAAAAAGGTAGCCAGCATTGAAAATATAGGTGTTTAGTTTTCTCAGAAGAAGGCCGTCATGAGAAGCCGAAAATAAAATCTCTTTATACCACAGGTCTAGTGACGTGAGCAAATTTACGTAACATCTAGTCAGTGAGCTACAATTACCAAACGTTAAGTACCGCATAGTCACCTGGCTATTATTACCTTGATATGTAGTCGCATGATTAAAGTCGCGTAAAATCAAGGTGCATCGCTAAAGTCCTGTGACTTCATTATTTAGCGACGTGAGTCGATCACCTAACAGCACTTCACAGTAACGTCAAGCGGCCGAAATCCTGTCTATTTATGTAACTTAGTCACGTGAGTCGATCACTCATTCTTATCTAGCGCTGCAGAAACATAAAACGCAGAGAATAAAATCCTGTGCCTTCACGAAACTAGCTACGTGAGTCGATCAGCTAATATCACCTAACACTTCCCCACGAGACCTAAATCACTGAGCATCGCGTAACTAGTCACAGAGCTACAATACATTGCATCACGTAACATCTGGCCACGTGACGCAAAACCCGTAACTAATCTCACGTAACATTCAAGTTCATTGAATAATACCAGGACAACACAAAATAGCGTGTCCAAGATAGGTACCAACACGTGCCTTGTCACGTGAATAAAGCCTTGTTTCAAGTGGTATAAATCACACAACATGACGCAACAACTAGTCACTTTACTAAAACAAGATTCCATCGCGCAAATGCAAGCCATGTGATTTAAGGTGACAAAAGGTCAAGAAACATTTACTGACGCAACTAAAACCGCATCACATCACGTAACAACTCAGCACATGAAAAAACATAACATGGCATATGCCTCCACCATAATAATCGGTATAACACGATCGTAAAACATGTCGTCTTATGAATAGTAATTATCGTACTGTGAAGTACGAGAGATTGTACATTTTTATTGGCGGTTCGCTGCTATAGCACCTTTTGTGTAGACACAGCCACATTGATGCCTAGCGGCACGTCTCCGTCGTCATCACTACCACCCATGATGAAGATTTACTTCTTCTGATAAAAGTCATTCACATATACCTGAAAGCAGTGCATTGTTAATGACATAAACAAGGAGACACTTAACACCACTACTCGATATGACATCTTCAAAGAACATCACTTTTGCAGAAAAACAGCTCGGCGTGCGCTCCTGAAACGCGAGCGCTCATGCATACTGTGCTTCAGCAACGCGGTACGCAGAGGCGCGTAGCTTAAGCGGCGGATGCATGCCGGCGTTCTACATTCTACTGGATTATGATTTGCTTTACCAAAGCAAGCAAGACATTCACCTGTCGATATCGTTGCCTTGCTGCATTGCATGCTGCAGCAAGTTTCAATAAATAGGCCGGTATCATCACACTCGATGTAGTCAGTGGTTAAACATCGTTAGTGCATGTGGAAGCTGCACGGCCTAAGCCAAGGAGGGTAAAAAAAATTGCTGGAGTGGAAATCATTGCCTAGGAGTGAAGCCGCGCCTCTGTCAAGATGGCGGCTGTGGCGGCCATTTTACTAGGAGCATGGTAAAGTGCCACCATTAAACGATTAAGAACAGAGCGTATCCCTCGCACGCCCAACGGCTGCAATGTGGAAACTTTTCGGGTCACGCAGCGCTCCAAGTGCGTCTTAGTGTTACAACTTTTCCTTATTTAGCCTCTTTTCGGAGGTAAAGTTATTGGGAAGTTCCGTCTCTCATACTCGTTTTTGTGTGTTATTTCGTCGGAAACAACTATGTTTTAATATAGAACTAACGTAGCATTTACCCTAACGTATGAAGGCCACTTGATCTCTAAGTGGGCACTATCACAAAGAACATGTTTCCGCCATCTTGGCAGTGGCAAAAGCTGGCTTCACTTCCTCTGGTAAGGCGTAGCGGGAGCTTCCACTCCACCAACTTTGTTTTAATCCTCCTTGGCTTAAGCTAACATGGAGCGAAAGTCAAGATGAACGCATCGGCAATTTTCCGATGCTCGCTGTGTCAGCGTTTTTCACTGCTGTCGAGAAGCTTTAACAATAACACCTAAGAGTGCTCATTGCCACGCCATCTCAGACGCCATGCTTCAACTGCATCCTGCTTTGGTCTTCAATATAGCGGGCACGCGGCGTGTTTATCTGTGGCTGCCCTGATCGCACGGGGAGAGCGTGTTATGAGAGGTGGGCATGGCACGCTCTGTTCTCCTCACCGCAGAGCTGCCACAGAGGACCCAAAGGGCTGCCGCGCTGTTGGCGCAGCTTGCATGTGATGAGAAAGAACAATTTTATGTTTTATATAATCTCGCGTTCATTTGGAAATGTGGGCTCAAATTGTGCGACAGGCAAAGCCTATGATGGTGTGTATATATTCTAGAACGGGCTTTTTTTGCTGTATATTTGCGCCACCCTTATTGGGACTAATATAAGAAGATACATTGAACAATGTAAGGTCTCTAACAATAGGCTGATATCAATCTCCTCAGCGATGTCCTAACAGGTGGTAAATTTAATTGTAACCACGTTTTCTAACATTCACGATCTGCTTAGAGATTTTTAATTTGAATTAGGAAAAGGTCGCCCAACTGAATTTGCATATACTGATCCAAACAGAAATATTTCTGCGAGGCTTTGAAGAAATTATCTTGACCTTGGCATATTAATAGATTTTCAAAGGCTTTCGGTGCCGTAAGTAATAAAACTTTACTGACAAAGTGTGATATACACAGTTTTCTGGAAACTTGTCTGAGTTTCATGTGAAGTTATCTGAAGTATAGGTATAAAACTGCTGTTATAGGCACATACTATTACACAAATTATCAGTACGTTCTGAGGTTATGCAAGGAAGCATACTAGGACCGGTATAGTTTAACATTTATATAAACGTTTTAACGAACATCAGCACTAGAGCGCAATATGCTTATACGCAGACGACACCAGTTTATTTCTGACTTTTAGAAACGTTACAGAGTCAATACGTACTGTCATTGATACTCCAGAACAGACATACAGCTAAGGTTTATTGAACTCCCTAACTATAAATGCAACCAGAACAGAAGGCGTTAAAGGTGTGCTTTTTCAATCAGAGAACAAAAAAACAAATGTTTCATGAAGGCCTTTGAATAGGAACTTCCGTGGGAGAAGTAGTACCATCGGACATAAGTTTGGGCGTAATTTGTCAGAAAACATGTTACGGATTGAACGTGTCAACATTATTGCCGACAATCTTGCTCGACTGGTCCAAATCCCTCTCACAACGTCACACCTATTGTAGTTCCATGGTGCCCTATTTTTTTTTACAGTTGCATTTCTCTTACCCTTAGTCATTACGTATCTTTCGTGCTTTTTAGGTACTCGGCCCCGCTATGTTTTATCCATACGCCCAAATATTTGCATTGGTTCACTATTTCTAGCACGACTTCCTGTATTTTATGCTCACTGCCTTCATTATCACTAAAATCATAACTGCCAATTTTTCTTTTCTGAACATCAAATTTAACCAATCTCTCACTACATTAGATGTATATAAATTCCTGTATATCTTTGTTTTTCTCGGCTATTATTACTGTATCATATGCATAAATCAATGCTGGCATGGCTGTTCGACGTGTTTTTCTTGTTTAGAAAAAGAGAAGCTGTAACAATACTGATTGTTGGCCTAGTTGATACTTGCTTAATGACACGCTTTGGCCGCAAGTAACACACACACAAAGTAAAGGCACACTCACACAAGTAAAGGAAAGTGCCGCTTGTGGTTGTCGTTGAGTGTTCTCTTACTTTGTGTGTGTGTTATTTGCGGTCAAAGCATGTCATCAAGAGAGAAGCTGAAGCCGAGTCGACTCCCCTGTAATTTGCCTTCTATTCCAGTAGATACAGAATAAATAACAAAGGTGACAACGAACATTCCTGTCGAAGCCCGCCTTGTATTTCTAAAGATTCAGATACCTGTTCTTTCCCTTTTATAACTACCTTGTTACTTTTAAAAATATCTGTTAGAAGATCAGTTGTTCGATCTTTCACATCTAGTGTGTCCAGCATCTTCCACCAGTCTTCTTAGATCACACTCCCTTGATATATATAAGTGCCATTCACAGGGGCCCATGTTCTCTTTCCGCAATTTCAATACACTGCATTAATGAAAACAGATTGTTCTCTAACCTCCTTTGTTTACGGAAACCATTTTGTAGTTCTCCCAGCACCCCCTCATTCTCAACCTAGGCCGAATCCACATAGAATGCACCCTCTCGTGGTAGCCGGGAACATGAGGCGATTTACGTTGGTTTTGCTGCAAAGTGCGGCAATTAGAATAGGTGGAGAGAAACACGCCCCATACTAGCCCTCCAGGAGGCCATAGTCATACCGCAATACTTGTTTTGAGCGCTCACAGACGGCGGCACCGCCCTGCTTCGCCGACAGATAGCACGGAGCCAGAAAGAAGTGCGAAAGATGTAGGGCGCCTCCGTGCCAATCGCAGCAAATGCATCTATATCTCAATGGGCAGAGCGTCGGTCGCATTTCGTATTTTCCGAAGAAGCCAGAGGTTCGACACCCGGCGGGAGAAAGTCATCTTGAAGAACTTTGCTTCCTCGTTTCCTAGCGGTAATTTTACATCACCATACTTGCGACGTCAATAGGTCACTGAGGTCTTGGTGGACCCCGGCATATAAATACACCTCTGGTCATATTATTGAATACCCCGCAAGAGCTAGACACGTGACATATCCCCATCAGCACCACATAATAATGCGTAGTGTAGAGGAACGAGCGAAAACGAAGAATAGGCAAGCCACACCTTGATGCAGTGGCAATTACCTTGAAGAACCCGCGTCACTGTTTGCGGGCTACTTTTTTTGAACGAGAACGTTTCGCGGAGCCCTTAGGTAAACGCAATCATGCAAATAAAGAACTGAGTTTTTGAAGGTAGTCCTATTTGGAATGTTCACCTGTTCCAGTGGTTCACACTCTATGTCGTTGTTTTGCATCTGTCCAACGAGTTTGCCGCCTTTCTCCACAGCTTCAAGCAGAAACGAAGCGCCATTTTTCCAGTGAAATCGCAGCCCGCAATGCTGCATTGCGCGTGAAGACGTGTCGCAGCAGTCCGAGCTAATTGAGAACCAAGACTTCCATTTTCGGCTTGGTGGAGGTCTCCATACTACCAAGTACACATCGCACATCGGTTTCTGCTCTTCGTGCTTCTTCTTATGAATGCCGTCTGGCAAGTTCATGCCATTTGGCTTTGATTCCTGGGAGTAAAAAAATTGCCCTTCGTGAAAATCAACTTCAATTAAGGAAATCATTCCACAATCAAAAAATGAAAAATTATCTCACCATTGGTAGATAGGTCATTTTAGGCTTCTCACTCTTCCACGTCTAATCAACTTGGAAACTCGCCTTTGAGTCGTACAGACCTGTAGAAGTAGAAATATTATGTTATACCGCTCTTGGTAGTTTTCCTTCCGAAATTGTTATAGGCACCAAGCAGTAGAGTTTTCTAATCTGACTACAGTGCCGAAAAGCATAGCCAAGTGGATGAAAAAAATTGGCCCCGTATTTGCATGTAATCTGCAAACGTCATCGAAAGACGACAGTCTTGCGCGTGGAGAGAATGAACAAGACATTTATTTGATGTTCTGCGCAAGAAAATCGGTGAATGGTATTCTGGAGGAGCTGCGTTAGAGTGCCTAAAGCGTGCAGCGGAGGTGAACGAGTGCATCAAATCACGTCACACGTGAGACATAAGCGCCACCTGGCAGTTGTCGTAGAAAATGAAACGTGTTGCTAACATTGAAAGCTGCTAACATTGGCCCTAACGGCCAATGTTGGCAACTTTCAGACTGGGCAGTGTGAGCAGCGCAGTCCCTTCTGGTCAGTGGACGGTGCATATATGTGAATATGAGAGACGCTGTAGCAGAGTTCTGGGGAAATTTGGACTCCCTGGTTTCTTTCAGGTGTCGTAAATTTAGGCACACAGGTTTCAATGAATCTCCATTCCATTGGAAGTGTGACTACCACTGTAGGGATTCGATACCGCGACCTGCGGATCAGCAGCAGAGTTTCTTATAGCCACTAGGCCACTATGGCGGGTCGGAAGCTAAACTACAGTAAAAATAGTTGCGTGAATAAACTTTCTGCCCGCTATCAGACAAATTTCTTGAGAAACCTTGCTTGAGTGGAGCCACCTGTTGTAATGGAACTCTTATTACCGTGTTAATGCAACTGCGTGCGTCATGATCTAATTTCGACAGATTCTGCTTAACGGTAAAGAGTAGCAAAGCGAGGTATCTTGCTCCAAAGCTCTCGGAAAGCCATGCTGTCCGCAAACGCATGCCATTGTGAATGCTGGGGGAAGAAAACAGTTCACGTTGCTGTGCTGGTGGTAGTAAAGACCTTGCTAAAAACACACGTGCTCATTCGTGGACCCGAGAATGCTCGGGCACGGTGCCTTCTCGCTGCCTCACGGGCTTGTTCAAGGGCCTACGGTTGTCCTCGTAGGTTCGAGCTGCGTAGCACGACCGTTTACCGCTGCTTCAGCTTCATGAGAGGAAGGCGATACAGGGGCTTCGCGACTGAATTTTCTCTGCATACAAACTCTGCTTGCATATTCAACGTGTATTTCACAATACATTAGTATATTCCACGTGAAAGAAGCCACTGACGTTAGTAAACCACGTGCATTTCAATAACAAACCAGGTAATGCGTAACAATACCCGAAATCATACAAAACCTTGAGTAGGATCAGTACCTCAATACACGTGTTGTGTGTTGAACCCTCGACAGTCTTCAAGAAATAAATTAGGGAAAAACTCAGTCTATTGTGGCAACATATGAGCCTAATGGGCCATTTGCGACGAACCGTTTCCTGCAACTCATTTAAAGAATAATAAATAAAAATTTCTAAAGCTCAGAAAACTTGCCATTCTGACTAAAGGTCATCGGCATAACAATCGTCATCATCATCAACCTGATTACACCCGCTGCGGCACAAAGGCCTCTCACTCAACGTATTACTCGACATATTGCTTTTTCGCACTTGAATTCCTCGTGACGAATAAAGTGGTCACACAACGGATCAAAATACAAAATTATGACCACATGATAACTGCACACAAACGTCATGCATTGTGCTTTAGTGGTGAGAAACTTTTCTTTTTCCCACGAACTATCACTCCGTGAAGTGGACTTCTTTCCACAACTGTACTAGCGAAAACTAGGCCATTGATGCCGAGGAAACCATAGGAGATGCCGTTCGTTAATAGAAGTAATTGTAATGTAAATGCAAAAAAGAAAAAAGACAAAAGGAAAGTATTCACTGGAAGGCACGAATACATGCTGCCTGCGAAAAAAAGCATCCAAAGTTCTACCAGCGGCAGTCGTCCCGCCCACCACTTTAAAGTTTTAAAGGTGACCAAAGTAGACGGAGGGATTACAGCCGCTGTAGCTCATTTGGTAACCGCCTTGAAACACCTACCTAAAGTAAACGCAGCTGACTAAGCGCCATATTCACTTACGATTGAGAAGGTTTGTGTAAACTTCTGGCCCTCTACCCAAGGCGCAATCATCCGCCCATTGCTTAATCCTTCGCCAGCAAAATATAACTGCAACATTGCCCGAAGAACTTGTTATTGAGGTGATTTTATTGATAAGTAGCAATGCCACGCGCTGGACACTAACCTCACAAGAGATTTCAGTGCAATCGACAGATAAATTGAGCCAGAAGGAACACTGCCGGGACGCCCCTGTGTGCCGCTCTTTCACTGTGCCCAGTCTAGCACTACTTTTTCCCGTCTAAGCATGTAGCAACCAGCCGCGTTACATGCACTGCTGTGGAGAGATAACAGAAAGCCACATTCTCGAAAGGTGAGTTAACTTACTCAGGCTGAATAAACGTTCCGCCGCAGTTGAATGGAAGGGCGATGAAAATGGCGCAGGAGATGAACAAAAATGAAGGAAGCAAGCACCGCACAAGTGGCAGGAGCGCATTGATAACAGCGCTCTTCACGCCATCGCTGGCGGCTGCAGCGATATATGGACTTTAGACAGTCGAGAAACGCTCTTGAGTATATCAGCACAGCTGAAGGTTACGGAAATGGTCACGTGTGTGACTCCCTTCTCTTCAGGGAAATCATGCAACTCCTTTGCTGGGCCACGTGATCCTCCATAAAATAAGGTCTACATGCAGTTCAATATCACAACTTCACGAGCACCTTACGTTTTCTTTTTTGTTGTTGTCAAAACCATCACCTTGAATTTCATTTGCCCTTGTGTATCTAGCCTTATCTTGTTAGATGCTTGAGTGCATTGCTCGTACAATTATCAAAACAAACACGGAAGAATAATATAAACTTTGGTGTATTACACTCTAAGAAAAGTTTGAGTATTCTATGAGTAGTTCCGCTACGCAACAATAGTAGTCAATTGACTTGCTCGCATTTACTTTCTTCAAACCCGGAACTAGCCACTTTGCTGTCAGGAATGCCATGTACACACTGATAACGCGCGCGCAGTTCGCGACCGCGCAGTACCGGAACCAAGCTGGCAGCGCGAGGAAAGTACTCGAAGTAGATAACAATTTATGCATAATACCTCAAAGGTCCCTGGTGGGACATTACATGAGGGGGGGGGGTGAACGAAAAAACTGGCGGGTCCGGTTAGGTTTCATGACTTGAAAGATGGTCTTCAATGGCGGCTTTGAATTGAGCAATGTCGGTGATGAGGGTGATATCGGGTGGTAGGGCATTTCATTCTCCGGCAGTATGCAAGAAAAATGAACGTTGGTAGCTGGCCGTATGTGCACGTGGTAGATACACAGCATTTTGGTGCTCAACCTATTGTTGAGCAGCAGAAACACTCCCCAAATACTCAATTTTTTTACGTTGTAAGGTAAGCCACGTTTCGTGATTATAATACACTGCATTAATTGCTCTCAACTTCTTGTACCGCACTCATAAGAATTATTAGCGATTCTTTGTTGGCATGCATAAACATGGCGATGACTGGCTGCGGTTGTTACTCACGCTTGCACTCACCAGTTATCAATCTCTCTCACAAAAAGGCATCCACTAAGCCAAGTCTAAATATGCTGAAAGTCAGACACCTTCTTTTAAGTAGAAATACTTCTAATATATCAATATTGTATTTATGCTGCTGCTCGCAATTGAAGGAATTCTACCTACTCAGCATTTTGGTGCACTAAGATTTCCTAAGTTGTTTATTGGGAATAGGAGCGAAATGAAATGAAGAAACGCAAAGCAGAAAATGAGCTTAGAATTGGCGAGGTGAAAATTGGTGATACGTTAGGCCTATTTAAGTTACCCTGTCGTCTATTTCGGCATTGTGACTCGCACTCACGTCGATACATCAATTTCGTGAGAAAATAACTTTGTGAGGCACTCATTATACACGACAACTGTCTGGAACAGAGTTCTGAAATATTTCGCTGCTAGACATTTCGACTGTGGCCCGGTCTACAATTGGCTGCCGTAGTCCGGCATGGGTATTAATTATTTAGGCACTCTTGGCTGGTTTGTGTCGTTGCCGTTACCCTAACATGTGTTGTTAAAGCCCAAATAGATAACATCCCTTTTCCCGTGGTATGCTCCACGCACTATTAAACAGAAATAAAGATTAACATTTCAAGTATGACTGTGGAGTAAAAAAACGTTTTATTAAGTTACGGGCATTCATATATCAGTCATTCTGTGGATTGCGATTGACATGTTGCCTTAAACACTTATGCCAAGTGCACTACTAAATAATTTATATATTATTTCTCATAACAACTGCCTTTATTCAATGGTCACCTAAGTGGGCACTGACTCAGTGCGCTTGCCTTTTCTGTTTTATTTCCTTGCTTTTTTGGGGGAGGGGGGAGGGCTTGACGCGTGTTTTTTTTTCGGTTAAGTGCCATCGATTATGGGAGAGCTCATTTTGTTACACCACGCTGTTGTTGATAACAGGAGTGGTTTAATTTGATGTACATGTGTGTCATGCTTATATAGGTCTTTGTTTTGCAATAAAACTTGTGAGTTGCTGTATACGAAGCGCTCGTCCGGCATCCTTTCTGAGGGTTTTGCTTCATTATGAAATAACACATGTTGGGCTGGTTGCTTTTTTATGTTGATGCTAAAACAGCGCGTACCGATGAGGACGGAACAAGAAAAGAATGACACATGCACTGTATCTAAGCGCACAAGTGATGGAAAGAAATGCGACTGAAGCTTACAAAACACGAGCCAGTCACCGCTATCGCGCGAAAGGCCCGTGCGATAAGATTATCCCACGTGCCAAGCCGGCCGTTGATAGCTTCTCAAGCAGAAGTGAAACAACCAGCCTACCTTTCATGCGAGGAAGGAACGTGCTACTTGAAATATTTTGTGCCACCAGAAATGTCACTTGCCCTATTTTCTC